AAAAAAAAAAAAAAAAAAAAAAGAATGAGCTACTCCTACCATTTGTTTATGAAATGTCTAGGACTTCATTTTCCAGAATGTTCCATAGAGTGCTCAGTCCAGACATTTGGGGCTTGCTAACCATATCAGCATCAGAACCGTGTCGGCCTGATGAGGGTACAGCCAGGGTCTTCTTGGGCGATAGTGAAAGATACACAGATATAGTGGCTGCCTAGTTCTTCAGGTTATAGGCACCCAGCTCCCTAATTTAATCACCTCCCTTTATCATTCACTCACCGCAAAAAAGAACCCAACCCCAGCAGCGGGTATATTAACCGCTACTGGAGGGAGAGGTGAGGGGCAAGAGAATGGGGAAAGTGACCACTTTAATGCAGATGAGTGAACAGCCCTCCTCCTGAGAACTGAATTCAGGGAGGACTAGAAAAGAAGGCCTTTGGCGGGAAGCTTCCTTTCTCTGGTCGAGGAGGACACCTCCTCCTCTCCTTTCCCAGTGTGATTCACAGGCTCCCCTTCCAGACCCACTGGTCTCCACTGCTCGAGACTGCGCTGGATGCTAAAGCGCTTTGAAATGTACTTTGCTATGAAACAAGGATCCGTCCCAGGACTTCTTAACCTGCATTAAATAGGCTAGAGCCTCTTTCCCACCCGACAGTGAGGGAGAACGGAGAGAACCCTCAGTAGCTCTCGAGTGACCTGCCTAATCGTGGCTTACCCCTCAGCTGCCCACGGCGTCAGGGCGCAGCCCCCATGCCCACCTGAAGTCCAAGTCAATGTAACTTGAACCATTTCCCTTTACTGCGCTCACTGCATCTCTCTCTTTCTCTCCCTCCTCCGTGCCCCTCCCCATGAGAGCATTTAGCCCCGTTCCCCACAAGACCTCCCAGTGGTCTACTCACCCGGGAGTGTTATGGGGATGGCCCCAGCCAGGATGAACCAGGTAGAGAGGATGAGGGCCTTCCTCACCATGGTGCGGGTGGCGGGAAGCGCAGGATGCTGGGCAGGTGGGCAGGCGGGCGCAGGCTCTCGGTGCGCTGGACTGACCAGGGCTCTGCTTGGCTTTTATAGAACCCTCAGCCCAAGGCCGCTGACGGCAGCGTTCTCAGGTGGTTTTTTAAAAAAAACACAAAACAAGTCTCTCCTGCTTCCCCCCCCCCCCACGAGAA